CGTAGCCCCCGCATTTAGTAGCAATTATTCAATTATTACACCTATGAGGATAATTCCCTCTTATAAGATTAGAAAAGAGACTCACCTCGCTCCAAAGTGCGCTTCAAATACCAAGAACGAGCCCGAACTCTCAATTTGGAGCCGAACGATCCAAAACTAATTAAATGAGGTAGGAACTAGTCAATATAAGCTCACACACCTCGCTCCAAAGTGCGCTTCAAATACCAAGAACGAGCCCGAACTCTCAATTTGGAGCCGAACGATCCAAAACTAATTAAATGAGATAGGAACTAGTCAATATAAGCTCACAAGATCATATTATATCTATTTAAGCAATTTCCCAACCCTTAACACAAGTTTCCCAAAGGTTGTCTTACATACACACTGGTGGAATTTCATTTTCTTCCGCTTTTTAAAATAGTAAGAGGGGAATTGAGTAAAATATCCTTGTCGACCCCGGGCCCACGTGCCCAGATTCTGAAATTTTTTGAAGGAAGTTGTTCTCCATAACCTAAGAATCAATAATATATGATTTCTAATTAATTTCATAACAAATTTCGTGGTTAAATCTAACTTTTGTCAAAATCCTAGGTTTTGCTCTAACCCCTTGATTTCACCTTAATTCTAGTGTTTAATCTACCTAAGACATATGTATTAAACTAAGAATAGGTGGAATAATCTTACTTCTAGATGCTAGGTGGAAGTCTTCTCTCAAAAGCTTCCAAAATCGCCAAGGAGTGAAAAGTGGCAAAAAGGGACTTAGAACCCGTATTAAATGAAGCTCAATGCTTCAGCGATTTCCGCATCTGTGGTTAGGGGACCGCATATGCGATCCCGCTTCTGCGAGAAAGTGAACGCATCTGCGGAATTGGCCAAATAGGATGTGACCGCTTCTGCGGTCTAGAGGCCGCTTCTGCAGTTTGGGCCTGGCCTGCCCTGGGCCGCATCTGCGATAGGCAGACTGCTTCTGCGGTCTTGCACATGTGGCCGACCAACCGCAGGTGCGGTTATGACAGAAGCAGATGCTTCAACACTTCTCAAAAATTCCAACTTCACTCGAGCCTCGTCCCATTGACGCTCGGGGCTCTCGGGCCCCGCCCGAACATACCGACAAGTCTGTAATCATGAAACAGACCTACTCGAACCTTCGGAACGCCCGAAACAATGCTAAATCTAAGAATCACCCCCTAAAACCAATTGAGTCAAACTTATGAACTTCAAGTTCTTAATTTTCCTCTAACAAGCCGAAACGCCCTTAAACTACTCGGATTGACACCAAATTTTGCGGGCAAGTCTTAAATGCTATTTTGGACCTGTACCGGGCTTCAGAACCAACATACGGGCTCGATACCTATGTGATCAATCATTAGTTAGCTTCTTTAAATCCTTTGAATTTTAGTTTAACAATTTCTAATAAAAAATCGTTACTCAAGTTAGGGACCTCGGAATTCGATTCTGGGCATACGCCCAGGTCCCATATTTTCCTATGGACCCTCCAGGGCCCTCAAATCACGAATCCGGGTCCGTTTGCTCAAAACGTTGACCAAAGTCAAACTTAGCCTTTTTTAGAAAATCCTTAGGAATCAAATGAGCATATTTCACTCCAAACTCTTCCAAATATCGAACCAACCATCCCCGCAAGTCGTAAATTAGTTAAAGCAAGCGCGGGAAGTTTTATTTAAGGGAACAGAGTTCTAAAAGGCAAAACGACCGATCGGGTCATTACATCAATCTTCGAAAATACCTTGACACCCTGAAGTTGATAAAATAAAATCGATTCTTGGCAACGGATATTTATTTTTGATAGTGACCTTGTTCAACTGCCGATAATCTATACACATCTACATAGAGCCATCTTTCTTCTTTACAAATAATACTGGTGCACCCCAGGGAGAGACACTAGGTCAAATTAATCCTTGATCAAGCTCCTTCAATTCTTTCAAATCTGGCGGGGCCATACGGTATGGTGGAATAGAAATGGGCTGAGTGCCTGGAGCCAAATCAATACAGAAGTCAATATCTCTATCGGGTGGCGTCCCTGGCAAATCTGCAGGAAATACTTCTGCAAATTCACGAACAACTAGGACTGAGTCCATAGAAGGAACATCCGCACTGGGATCGCGAATATAAGCCAAGTAAACTAGACACCCCTTCCCGACCATACGCCGAGCCTTCATATAAGAAATAACCATGCTGGTAGAATGGCCAGGAGTTCTCTTCCACTCTAATCGAGGCAAACCCGACATGGCTAAGGTCACCATCTTGGCATGGCAATCTAATATAGCATGATAAGGTGATAGCCAATACATACCCAATATGACGTCAAAATCTACCATGTCGAGAAGTAGAAGATCCACACTAGTCTCAATAGAAGATCCTCAATATATCTTTTCAATCAATTTTGTTGCGGCGTGCAACCCGTTCCTCCAATATATTAACTTTCATTTCTGTTGCGGCGTGCAACCCGATCCTCAAATAATATAATTTACCAATTCTTATAAAAGAAACTAATTCAATAATTGCAACAACTAATATGGAATTATATGGCAAATAAGCATACAATAATTACAATTTATTTAGGAAACAAGTAATGACAAGTAGCAATTAATTGTGGAATTAGGGAGAAAATGTACAATTTAATATTTAATATGCTCACTGTCAAGTAACAATTAAGTCACATGAATCAATTAAGCATGTAGCAATCAAGCATGGATTCAAGGCACAATATTGAGCAAGGAATATGAGAGAGATAATTAATATAACAATTAATTCATGATTTAAAACAATTTATGTTTTTCGAAAAATTATGCAAACAATTAATTTGACGACGTATAGGCACTCGTCACCTTGCTTATATATTGTACACATAGAATTCACATAAAAAATAATTCAAAGGTTCTATTCCCTCAAGTCAAGGTTAACCACGACACTTACATTGCTTTGCAGCCAAATTCAAGATTTCAATAAACCTTTGCCTCGTGAATTCGTGTCCAAAGACTTCAATCTAGTCACAAACAATTCAATATACTCAATACAAATCATAGGAATTAATTCCATATGAATTTACTAACTTTCCAAATAAAAATTCGGAATTCACTTTAAAAATCAACCGTGGAAACCACGTCTCGAATCCCGGAAAAACTCACGAAATCCGAATATCCGTTCCGATATGAGTTCAACCATACAAAATTTATCGAATTCTCACATCGGATCGACTTTCAAATCTTCATTTTTTATTTTTGGAAGATTTTATAAATATTTCAATTTCTTCCATCTAAATCCGAAATAATTGATGAATATAGACAAGGATTTATGAAATATAATCACTTTCGGATATAGAACACTTATCCCAGTCGAAGACGTGAAAAATCCCTTTAAAATCGCCCAAATCCGAGACTCAAAATTCAAAAATGAGTAAAAATGGCGAACACCCGATTTTATGTATTCTCTCCAGCATTTTGGCACCTGCAGACTCGCATTTGCGAGACAAAACTCGCATTTGCGGAACAGGGCTGCTTGTCCAGTGGCCGCATCTGCGCCCTGAAATATCGCACTTGCGACATCGCAAAAGCGCTCCAGTAACCGCAGAAGCGACTCGTCCATCGCGGAAGCGGCTGCGCACCTGCGCTAATTTCTCTGCAAAAGCGGAGCTCGACAGGGCTGTCCAATGTTGCAGAAGCGATTGGAATTCCGCATGAGCGACCATTCACCTGCGCACAAAAACTTGCAGGTGTGACGCACTAGAACCAGCACTAGACAGCAGGTTCCAATTGTTCAGTGGCTCGTCCGAAACTCATCCGAGCCACTCGGTACCTCGTCCACAAATTCCAACAAGTCCCAAAACATAATACGGACTTGCTCGGGGTTTCAAATCCCGTTAAACAACGTCAAATTTACAATTTACACCTCGATTCAAACTTTTGATTTTCAAACTTTTCAATTTACAAAACCCGTGTCAAAACATATTAAACGAATCCGGAATGACTTCAAATTTGGCACACAAGTCATAAATAACATAACGGAGCTATTCCAATTTTCAGAATCTCAATCCGAGTCGATATCAGTAAAGTCAAATACGCGGTCAAACTTTGGAAATCTTTAGCCTTTAGATTTCTAGTTTCTGTTAAATAGCGATAACTTGAGTTAGGGACCTCCGAATTCGATTCCGGGCATACGCCCAAGTCCCAAATCACGATGCGAACCTACTAGAACTGTCAAACACTAATCCACGTCCGTTTGCTCAAAATGTTGATCGAAGTCAACTCAGTTGAGTTCTAAAGCTCTATTTCATATTTTAATCATTTTTTCACATAAACTTTCCGAAAAAATTTATGGACTGCGCATGCTAGTCGATGAGTGATAAATAGTATTTTTCGAGGTTTTAAATTACATAAATAAATATTTAAAATAAAGATGATATTTTGGGTCATCACACTTTCTATCTCAAACTTTGTGCTCAATCAAATATTGCGAACAATGGGTCAAAAGGAGTATAATACATGGAGGGAAGGGAGGAAAATGGACAAGAAAATTAATAGGTGGGGCATCAAACTATACCAATAAGGTTAAACTTCATATAGCCAACCAATTGGACTATTATGCACGAAAATCTAAGTTAAACTTTGTTGTAAGTTAATTTAACCTAATGATGCAAAAATCCAGATATTATCAATGTACAAAAATTAAACCATGTTAGATGATTAATTCTCTTAAGTTTGTTCGTAATATAAAGACGTCACAAAGAGATAGGAAAACTAAGTCAAGAACAAATCACATGATCAGTAAGGCCTTAAGTTAAAGACTAGTACTTCCAATATTCAATAACAATCACACACCATAATTCAAAGAACTCTACTCATGCAATCTTGAAAACTTGAAACATGAGTAAGTATACGTAATTACTATAAACTTTGAAAAAATTGATCACTACACCAAACTTAATAAACTAATTAAACACTATAAAACCCTTGTTAAACAATCACATATATCATCAAGAAAAACCTTAAAAAGTGTTCACTTTTTCATGTTATAAGCAATGTCTGGAGTAAGAAACTTATTTTCTTTCCTTATTTTCTTTCTCATTATTGCCTTAAACTTCACTAATGGCTTAGCCATTGATCATAAATCTGATGCTAATATTGCATTAATCCCACAAAAGAAAGGAATAAAATGGTTGCATTGGCCATTTGTACATGCACCACCACCACCTTCATCTTTTTTTCCTAAGTTTCCATTTCCAAAAATATTTCCCTGGCCGCGATTTTTGCCACCTAAGCCTTTTTTGCCTAGTGAAAAAAGCGTCAGTGACATAAGCATGGACAACGGTCAGAACGTGCTGGAAAAAAAATATTATTGTGCTTTAATTATTGAGGCGTGTATGCTTGAAAGGGATACGTTATGTGTTCGCCATAGGTGTACCTTCTCTTATGATTGTTGTACATCCATTAATACTGAATTTGGTTCTGAGGAATGTAATCAGTATGAATTTGCCATGATAAAAAATGAGTGTGCAAATCAAGCTGCTCCTCCTCCTACAGATTACTAAGTTATTAAGGGAGTATATGTACGTATATGTTCATATAGTCGATCCAACTCGTTTGGGACTAAGGCGTAGTTTACATTATTGTTATTTTATGTATATGTGTGTATATTTCATATAGTCGACCCCAACTTGTTTGGGGCTGAGACGATGTTTGTTGTATGTGTTTGTGTGTATATCTATGAGAATAAATTAATGAAGTGATTTGCTTCCTGACTTATCAAATTATAGTGCTATTTTTCATGTCATGATATATACAAATTCTTGCAAAATTTATCTCGATTGTTTCATAAATTAAAAAATTGTTAATATTAATCATCTTCTACATCTTAACATATATATTTCATGTCAAATGGACCATATAATTAAATAATTATTTTTAATGGATCATATAACTATTGAACCCCGTTCTATTTCTATCTCATTATTAAATTTTAACCATAATTGAATAGATATTCATTAACTAAAAATGGACCATAGAGTGGACAATGGCCAAAGTCAATGTGATATTATCCATATAACAAAAGGACAGACACATACCTAAACCAAGATCCAGCCCTTTGGTATCGGGTTCAACTGAACCCAGTACTTTCAGTACGGAATATAAATTTATGTGTAAAAAATTATTAAAATTATGATATGTAGTAGATATCAGCCCATAACTTTAAAAATATAATTAATTTAAACCCATAAAATTTTAATTATGTATCCGCCTATGCATTTAACTATTTTCTTACTTGTTACTTCTTCTCTCCTAATTTATGTGGCATTCGAAAAAGAATAATTGACATATTTTAATAAATCAATGGAGAAGAAGGTGGATGTCTATCAACAAGGATATGGAACAAGAATTAGGAATTATTCCTTGAATTGGATTATTCCTGTCACTTTTTCTTGGAGTATTTTTTTTTTTGTTTTTCCTCCGGTGTTTAGTGTCTTACGTTTGTTTTGGAGCTCGAATAATTCGAATTTTTAATGCAAAATCTCATTTTAAGAGGTGAAATGCTTTTTATTAAAGACGATTTCATACATAGAACTCAAACCTAAGACCTTTAATTTTATTAATGATGAAGAATTATTTACCTCTCACGTAACCTCTAGGGCTTTATTGAGGCATCTCATTCCTTCTACAATAGTGTTAAAATATAAAATAATTTTTAATCAGTCAAGATTCTTGCTGAAATTCTAAAAATAGATGGCCCTTCTTTTCTAACATTTATAAAGGGTGAAAGAAATAGGAAAAGATTCCTCTGGTTATATTTTATTTAAAGTTCTTTTATTTATGATCCTTTTTAAGCTTTAATATTAGTTTCCACATAGTAAATAATTATGCAATTTCTCTAACGAATAATTAAAGATATTAAACGCATCATTAAAGGCCACTTTAAGCTAATTATCTGCTAATAAAAATTTACTTATTAAGTATTCCCATAAGTTTTTGATCGGTTGAGCGAGAGCCCTTTCACATGGGACTCCCGGAGTACTATGATTGACTTTAATCTCTGGTCGATCAACCGGTCTCGCAGTCAGGCAGGCTTATACCATTATGCACACGAGCGGAATCTTAGCTTGAGCCTATCTTCGCGCACCTTTATTACTCTTAGGGTTCGTTTGATTAGAAAACAAGTTATCCCAGAATTAATGATCCGCGGATTGTTATCTCACCCTCTTATATGAATAAAAAAAATACTATAATCCTGAATAACTAATCTGGGTTAGTTATACAACGATTTTATCCTAATCAAACGTGTGATAAACTCATCTCAAATTTAATCCTGAAATAATTATCCTTTATCCCTCATACCAAACGAGCTCTTAATCATTGTATTATAATCCCAATATAATTTGTTTATAGTTGGAGTTTTATTTAAACAAGAAAGAAAAAGCAAAAAACAATTATTTTCCTATTAGGAGTGAAATTTGTTGGCCCAATAACATGTATAAACGTGTGGGTATATTTCTTTTAAAATATTTGTTTATTTGCCCTTCCCTATCACCAAATATTATTTGTATACACTCCTTTTTTATTCTCTACCCTAATAATCCTTAGAAGTCCAAAACCGAGGGAGAGAAAAAAAGGAAAAATAAGGCAAAAATCATGTCTGATGAAGAACACCATTTTGAGTCAAAAGCAGATGCTGGTGCCTCTAAAACTTATCCTCAACAAGCTGGTACCATTCGTAAAAATGGTTATATAGTTATTAAAGGCAGACCCTGCAAGGTTAAAATCTTACCCTTTTTCTTTTTTTATTTATTTATTATTAAATCTACTTTTGTCAAGTTCAGGTTTTGTGTATGATTCTTGTTTTTGTTTTATGGGGTTTGTAATTTTGAGGTTATATAGTTTCTTTGTTTTATTATTAAATCTACTTGGGCCAAGTTCAGATTTTGTGTATGATTCATGTTTTGTTCATGGGGTTTGTTAATTTTACACTATTTTGAATGAGTTTTTTTAAACCCTATTATTGTTTTATTATTAATGGGATTTATTACTTTATTATTAGATTCACTTTGGAAGGTTTAGATATTAAATCTGAACCTTGTTTTTTTTCATGGGGTTTGGTTTTTTTGGCTCTTTTTGAATGAATTTTTGGATATAAATCAGATCTTGATGGATTCTTGCTACTTGTTTTTATGGATCTTTATTTAAGTGGTATGTAGTTGTAGTTGAAGATAGAAGTAAAGGGTGTGTTTGAGCTATGTTTTTTTTTTTCCTTTCCTAAGCCGAGGGTCTACCGGAAATAACCTCTATGCCTTCTTGAAAGTAGGGGTAAGGTCTGCACACTACCCTCCCCATATCCCGCATGTGGTATTGCACTGGGTTTGTTGTTGTTGTTGTTGCATGTCACACCAAGTTGGTTTTAAAAAAAAAGTGTAGTTAGCTTAAGCCTTAACCACAATTATCTACTAAACTGCCATAGTGATATTACACATGGATATTTTATGTTGACATCAAAATAAGGAAAGGGTGTTTTTGAGTTGTTACTTTTAAGTTCTGATTTATTTGATTTTTGTGTATGCATATGTAGCTTAGATAATAGTAAGTTTCTTTGTTTTCTTTTCCAACAAAACTTAGGTAGATTGGGAAGAATCACCTAGCCTTTTTTGTCTCTACCTTATTTGAACCCTAGTCTCCACGGTTTTCTTAAAAAAGAAAATTTAAAATATACTAATGAAGGTACCTGTATCGTAATGCTATTGCCCGCTATCACTGTTCTTGTATTTTTCTCGCTTTAGCTATAGTTGGTACGAATAAAAAGGTTGAACCTTTACAAAGCCATTTGAGCTATTTTGCTTAGCCTCTCTGAAAATGTCTGCCGGGTGTGTGTCGGATCCTCCAAAATAGTGCATTTTTGGAGGATCCGACATGGCTGCAATATCATTTTGGAGAGTCCGTGCAACATAGCTTTTGAGGAAAAAGGATACAATATCATTGTTGTATCAGCTGAAATAATGCATCACTCAGTAATCTTTGATCTTTTCATCACAAATGGGTATGTTCATTTATTTGATCTTTGACGATTGTCCCTTTATACGATGCTAATCTTGAACAGGTTGTTGAGGTCTCCACTTCAAAAACTGGCAAGCACGGACATGCAAAATGTCACTTTGTAGCAATTGATATTTTCAATGGAAAGAAGCTTGAAGATATCGTTCCTTCCTCCCACAACTGTGATGTAATACAGTGTTTCTTCCTCTCTCTTTTTTTTTTTATTTCTAATGGTGTATGGTCAGTTTGCGAACATTAGAAATTTGATTTTGTCTGATCATTTTCATGTTTTCCACAGGTGCCCCATGTTAATCGTACCGACTATCAGCTGATTGACATCTCTGAAGATGGTTTTGTAAGATTTCTACTACCTATGATACGAACGTGTATCAGTCATCCTATAATTGGGGCAAAAAATTTTAAATGATAATGCAACATAATTTTGATTGATGACCTTTTGCATCATTTTGTATATCTGTAGTAGCTTAGTCGTAGCTTCTTAATGAAGTTGAGACTCATTTTTCTTTTCTACCTCAGGCGGAAGAGTCTTCCGGGAAGACAAACCTTTTCTTCTCCAAAATTTAATACTAAAACCAAAGACTTGAAATTAAGATGTTGTCTCATTCAAACTGTCTTGAACTCGAGTTTCTTTGGCTAATTCTTTCTTCAACTCTGTTTCTAGTGTTGTAATTTGTTCGTTTCTTTGCCAGGTGTCTCTTCTTACTGAAAATGGAAACACCAAAGACGACCTCAGGCTTCCCACCGATGAAGCCCTGCTGAGCCAGGTACACATTTTGGATAAATATAACATGAAGAACCTTTATTTTCTCGTTTTTCCATGCACAATATCTGAGTAAAGTTGTCAACTTCGTTATAGGTTAAAGGTGGATTTGAGGAAGGAAAGGATCTTGTGTTGTCTGTGATGTCTGCAATGGGTGAAGAGCAGATTGCCGCTGTTAAGGACATTGGTACCAAGAACTAGTCGCGCATTCTGCAGCATAAATAATTTGCTTTAGCCAAGACATTTTATATCTTAATCGTGGTACTTTGATATCCGTTGATTATGAACTCGACTTATATCCTATTGGCATGGCTTGAATAGTTGAACTTTATGGTTTGTCTGGTAAGACAGAACTGGATTTGATAGCAGAAGTGATTTATATGAATGTCACTTTTTACTGGTTTCATTCATTATGGGGCTATATTGTGCTTAACATGTTCATCCATATAGAAGGGTAAATTTCAATCATTTTTCTCGAAATATTTAGGCAAGGGAATTTTGGCGTAATTGGTAAAGTGGTTATCATGTGACCAGGAGGTTACGGGTTCGAGGCGTGGAAATAGCCTCTTGCAGAAATGCAGGGTTAGGCTGCGCACAATAGACCCTTATGGTCCAGTCCATCTTCGGATCCCGTACATAGCGGGATCTTAGTACACCGAGCTGCCCTTTTTCTCGAAATATTTAGATATGGATTGCACCTGTTTCACTATGGAGTTCTAGTAATGGCAAGAACAAGTACGAGACAATTCACTAACGGTAAGGATATGTATGGATCTAAGGTATAGTGGAGAGTAAAATTGGCTATTTCATATGATAAATGGGCAAATTTGAACCATATCATTATAAAGTATAGCACTTATATTGTCAACTTAAAAAACCATGTTGGGTTTGCACCACTTTATGGTAGTTTTGATACCAAAATGCTCCAATTAATTGAGGCATTATTACTTATACATTACTTTGGAAAACATTAAAATCTCGAGTATTACTCGTGTTCAAACAATTTCATGCATTTAACTTGTAAAGGGTAAATAACTACTACATTTAACAAGTTTATTTTGGTCACTAGAGTACTTTGAACATGTTGGTTATGTCATGTATATATCTATATTAACTCGTCTAAGAATAGTAGCCAAACCACTTATTTGATACACATAATTGACAATAGTAAGTGTTCCACCAAATATCTGGCTTAACTATAGTTGCTCGATCGATGATCTACATCTTTTCCCATAGTCTCGGAATTGTGTCTTGATCTTCTATATGCGAAATATAAGGGACTAGTTTCTATAGTTATTTTCCTTTGTCTAATTTCACGCCTTATTATGACGAAATGGGAGTTGGCTTGGCATAAAAGGAGATATGGAAATAGAAAGAAAAATATTTTTCTTTACTTTTATATATTTGACGAATTACAATCAAGATCCGTTGTAGTCTAGTTGGTCAGGATACTCGGCTCTCACCCGAGAGACCCGGGTTCAAGTCCCGGCAACGGAATTCCCTTTTTTTTTTTTTAATTTTTTAATTTTTATGTTATGTGTCGTGAAAACATTTCATCTTTTTTTTAAAGGAATTAAACAGTAAATTGCATAAAACCTTTTTAATGAAAAATGACATATATAACTTATCAATTTGGACAAGTTACTAATAACATTTTTTCACCGTAAAATTTTTAAATTTAAATTCCTCTTTTTCTTCTCTAAAGTCCCTAATCCATTGATAAATGCTTTCAATATAGTTTAAAACATTTTATGGTGACCATTATAAGTTACTATTAATACGGATTCTATTAGATACATTATAATATCTAATTATTGTTAAAAATTCTGAATTATTCTATATAATTTTATGTAATGAATCTAAACATATTCTTGACGTGTTCAAACGTTGTAAATTTCTCAAAATTTGAGAGTTTATACAATCAAGAGACCTGAAGGTACTTAATATTTGAGTAATCCTCTCTTGTCACGTATCTTCGTAACTAAACACCTCCTAATTAGGCATATTTTATATTAGTGAATTGATTAGGTGGATAATAGTCCTAGACAAAGAACATGCAGTAACTAGAAACAAACCATTTGAATTAAAAACTTGATCAAAACTGGACAAATGTTAGGGCCAGAGGCGGATGTAGTGTAATGACTACGGGTTTAACTGAACCCATAATTTTCGACGCGGAGTAAAAATTTGTATGTAAAAAATTCATTAAAATTACAAAAATAATAGATATGAACCCATAAATTTAAAAATATAACAGGTTCAATGTTAAAATCAATAAAATTGAACACATAAGATTTAAATCCTGGATTCGCTCCTGGTTAGGGCTTGTTCTCTTTGTCATTTAATGCAAATTTCCTTGATAATAAATGCTTAAAATATTAGGTGCAGGGACTTGCAAATTGTAGCTAAGAGACAAAAGTAACTCATTTTCTGGGAATGGAAGCAAATTATATTGGTCATAGCATAAAAGGAAACTATGAAATAATTGCATAGTATAATTTGTTCCGATGATTAGATCTAGTGGTAAGAGCATAACGCATGATGTGTCAGTGAGACACATGTTACAGATTCAAACTCTGCCGCTAATAAAAGCTTAGTATTTACGTGAAGAATATTAAAGACGCAGACTCATTATCCAATAAGTTTTGAGACGTATACAACTGACTATCAGGATTTCTTGATTATTACAACAATAAAAAATGTACCTCCTTCGATCCACGATAATTGTTTTTTTTTTTTGTCTTTTCTTGTGGTCCACAATATTTGATTTTTTCAAATATCAAGAAGGAAATTATATAGAGCCTTGGAGTATATGTTATATTTTCAATGAACAAATTAAGGTTAATATGGATATTTTTATTGTTAATTAATGCTAAAAGGTGAATTTCTTAATATCTCACATACTGCGCATTTAACGCTTTCGTATTTTTGAAATTGGATTTATGCATTATCGACTTATTTCATATCATGGTTCAAGCGTTAAAAATCGGTGAGGTTTACTTTTCCTTTTCGATGCCCGTGGAACTACTGTCAATGGTTTACCCTTGCGAAAACAGCCAAAAAATCAATTAAAATGAACCAAGGCGAGTAATAAATAAAAATAAATGCTTAAAATGGTAGGTGCAAGGACTTGCAAATTGTAGCTAGAAACAAAAGTAACTCATTTGCTGGTAAGGGAAGCAATTATATTGTTGACAGCATAAAAGGAAACTGTGAAACCATTTCCTTAGAATAATTTGTTCCCCATCTACCATTTCAAGAATTGAGGACCTACAAACAGTTGGTGAAGAAGAAAAACTCAATAAATGAGATTTAAATGATTGAATAACATTGAGACAAAAGTAGGACATGTTGAAAAAATATGGGCCTCAACAGTTGGTAAACTTGCCTTAAACATTGGAAACAAACTTAAAAATGCATCCCCATTGCTATGAAGATAGTTCTCAGTTGTCAAATCTATTTTTAGCTGGCCACCACAGTTTTTGAGACATTAACAGATAGCATTAGGTCCCTACATGTTAAATGTATGTGTAACAGCCCAATCCGTTAATGATATTGTCTGCTCTGGACCTAGACCCTCATGGGTTAAAACGCGTCACTAGGGGCTAAGGCTTGTTAACTTATATATCCATCATCCCTCTTGTGTGTTGCCGATATGAGACTCTGTCTAAAGTCTAGGATGTTACATACACCCCCTCTTATGGACTCAGTATCCTCGCTGAGGTTTGCCCCACTGCATGGGATTTGTCTAGACTTAGCACTGAGGTTTGCCCTGTCTAACCTGGATTTGCCTAAACTCAGTTGAACTCTGACCCGTCTAAGTCTGGGGTGTTACATACACCCTCTCTTATGGACTCAGTATCCTCGCTGAGATTTGCCCCACCGCATGAGATTCAGCTAGACTCAGCACTGAGATTTGCCTCTAACCGAGATTTGCCTAAACTCATTTGAACTCTGACCCACCATCGGAAAGGCTAACACAAGAGTGGCTCTGATACCATCTGTAACAGCTCAGCCTACTAGTGATATTGTCTGCTATGGACCTAGGCTCTCACGGATTTAAAACGCGTCACTGGGGTCTAAGGCTTATTAACTTGTATACCAAGCATCACTCTTGTGTTCTACTGATGTGGGACTCTGTCTAAAGTCTGGGGTGTTACAGTGTGATCTAATTCCAGGTACAACAATAACAGATATCTTACTTAGGCGCACGTCACGAGTTCGAACTTTGCCGTAGACAAAAGCTTGATATTTAAGTGGAGAAGGGTAAAGAGGCAAACCAATTATTCCCCGAATTTTAAACTATGTGCCGGTTGGCCTGGTGTTTAAGTAGGATGGAGGGTCTAATTATCCATTGAGTTTCAAACCGTATGTCATCTGGCCCTCGAGAGTATCGGAAACAGCCTCTTTACCTTTATAAGGTAGGGGTAAGATCTGCATACACACTACCCTCCCCAGACCCCACTTATGAGATTGCATTACACTGCATGTTTTGTTGTTGTTGTATCTCGGTTATAAAAAAACACCAATCATACTTTTGTTAGCTGCTCCAGCAAACAGGTTATGATGGTTGCAATGTAAGAAGAAGCAACACTTTTATCTTGCTAAAACTCATGCATTTATAGACATGAAAAGAAGTTACTTACCACTAGTTAATCTTGATCTGGTAATCTAGAAATCTCAATAATCTATTATGCATAGATATTTAACTCATTTCTGTACAAAACCAGTTTTGCTGCTAATCTATGTGAACTTAACCCGTTGTTACAAGTCTTGTATCGCTAAATATGTGTTCAGCGATGCAGAGAATGCTTACACGAAGATGAAAATCACTCCGAGGAGAAACTCAAGTCGTCGATAGACCTACATATCTCTGCTTCAATGGCTTCATCGACTTTTGTTGCTTCAGTTTCATCTTTGTTTGAATCCTTCTCTTTAGCTTCAGCAGATTCGACACAGTCATGAAATCTAAAGCAACTAATAAGATGGTCATTTGTAATACCAGAAACCTGCATGAAAGAGTAGACCACAGTAGGTCCCACGCCCCGAAAACCTCTCCTTATTAGATCTTTGCTAATCAAATCCGCTTTGGCCGTCTTCACTGGCACCTGACGAGGATATCTAAATCCGCTTACTATAGGCTTGTTGTTCACAAAGCTCCAGATATACTTGTCAAATGATCCAAATTCATCTATAACCTGACACAAGCAACACCTATATAAAATTAATTTTAACGCCAATTTGAAAAAAAGTTGCTATTTTAGCTTATGTTTCACAAAACAGCCTTACTAAACAGCACATTGGCACTAAGGAGAGGAACTACTAGGTAGCTATGTTGCTCGGACTCTCCAGGATCCTCCAAAAATGCACTAAATTTGGAGGATCCGACATGCATCCAACAATACTTTTGAAGAGTCCGAGTAACATAGCTAGGTAGCACCAGCTGGGACTTTTTTATAGTTTAAAATATCAAGGTAAGACTTACTCCAGTGAACTTGCCAGTTGTGGATACAGATCAAAACAAACTGACTTATCAACAGGACCACTATAAATTATTTCTCTACCTAATCCAATTGATCAATAAATGATTGAATATCCCTAGAAGTAACAAGATTATAGAGAGTGGTCCATGAAAGCGAAAGGCTCCCGATAAAATCATAATTTTGATCACAAGCTAGCTAAAAACTACATTCACACTGTGATTCTTTTTTAGATTTGGTCGGTACATATAAATTGAAACTCATATAGGTGTTTATGCTAAATTCTTGATATTAGCCATAGTACGCTAAATATATTAGTAAATGACAGACAAATGGAATCGAAGAAGACTGGAAGAGGTGTTCACTTTTGCTAACTGAATAGCGAGTAAATATACCTTCGACATTTGACGGGCATTTTCAATTATGGCTCGAAGTTTAAGTTCTGATAATAGTGAGCACGCTGTACTTCCAGGAGCTAAAATCTTCTTTTCATTTAACTTCGCCACTACTATGGGATCAAAATCTGCAAATACTTCTCTGCACCATTTTATTAAAGGTTATGGAAAACTCGGTATAGTGAGGAAAGGCAATGCAAAAAGGAACGTGCAAGACAAAATATAGCATACCACTCTAGCCCAGAAGAGAAAACTAAGGCAAATCTTATGCTTTTCGGGGTGAAGAATAAGACTTTCCTCTATCAAAATAAAGAACTTATTCCAAAGAGAATACCTGAATATGTGCCTTTTGCAAAGAATGGAAGGCCATGAGAGTTCAGCCAATGCTCCGCAAAGAACAAGGAGCTCAAATAGTTTCCTGCAATATTCAAAAAGAATTAGTAACTATATTCTGTGTAAGAATGCTCTGGACAAGAATCTGGCAACTTACTTGTCGTCATGGACGGGAACTCCCCACTCTTCATCGTGGAAATCAGCATAAGACGGATCTGGTTAAAGGAGAGACAATCTAAGAAACTACAAGCTCAAAGTGATAAGAGTGGCTAGTATATATATAGCTTAACATGGAACTCAATTCTCAGTTATATACTCCCAAACATATTTAAAGTTCTCTGAAGCTTTTCAAATTGACATTTTTTTATAGTGATACTTATAACCGCATATCCATTTTTTACGATGGAAGGGGAGCCTTGGAGTAACGGTAAAGTTGTCTCCGTGTGACCTATAGGTTAGGGGTTCTAGCCGTGGAATCACTGATGCAGCAGGATAGGCTGCCTAAGTCTGACCCCCTAGGGGTGCGGCCCTTCCCTGGACCCTGATTAAACGTGGGATGCTTCGTGCACTGGGCTGTCTTTTATCCATTTGTACGATGAAGCTAAAAAAGACACAAATATTGGGACAAGTGAAACTAAAACAAACTACACAAAATTGAGTAACAGTAGCGTTATAGGAACAGCATATAACGCTTTATGTCTCCTAAATTGAGTGGTAAGCAGCAAAAAGAACTCTTACCAATTTATGTACTGACAGCTTATTCTGCAGTTTGCATAATATGCATATAAAAGTCTTAAAAATGCATAAAAGGCAGAACTCGATGATCAGAATAATGATCTAGAGCTTCAAGATAGAAGTAACTGGAGTAATTCAACAGAGTAGAAAGATAGCCTAGAGCACCTCATAATAATGAAGCTGCATACTCGAAAGATAAAATTGCCTCCACACCAATAGCACTGAAGGTAGAAGATAGTATGGTCTTGCTATAGCCAATTCGTATATCATTCAGCAACAGGATTTTATCTTAAACTCAAAGAATAGCTCCTTATAATAGTCCCGACATCCTATCATATCTACCTAGGTTCCACATCATTAAAAGATTTCAATCTTTTCTTTATTTCATAGTCGGACATTAAAACATAAAACTGTTCCAAGTTCTACAAATTTTCTTCTTCAAACATCTCTCACTGATTCAGCCCATTCTTGGACTCCTCCAAAGTGATGGTAAAAAAGAGTAGAAAAATCAAGCTATCAAGCTACAATTAACCTTAAAAGCATTACTTGATTAACCTTCCAATTATAATTGCTTACAGTTTGGACAGCATAATATCAGAAAAAACCGTATGTTCTAAATTCTTAAAAAAGAACAACAAAGGACACACCTGTATTAGGTGTCACCCAGGAACATCTTTTCTTGGATTGCAAACCGTCAATTGAAGAGTCTGATATATCATCTGAAACAATCCTTTTGGACTTTGATGCCAACTGCTTCCTTCTACTTGAGGTACTACTCATTCTATATATCCTACCGGTTGAAGCACTACTATGAAATGAATCCGTCGAGGCATCAGAAGAACATGAAGCACTGAGCGACAGATTGGAATATAATGACTCCTGTCGCCGAAGTATTGAAGGAACATCAAAAGAATGCAATGAAGGCGATGGTTGGTCACCATTCTTATCCTCCTCTTTCGACTTCACTGCCTTTCTTGTAGGTTTTGAAACAGACTTTCTTGAACCAGGTGACCTCAGTGCCTTATTCCCAGCAAGTCCAAGAACTGGCCTTGCTTCTGAATCAGCTGCATTCATTGACCTTACCCTTGAAGCCCCTGACATTGAAACGAAAACTCCCGTCTGCTTCTGCCACTTAAGTTAAACTTCAGGCTTCGAAATCCTCAAAATTCCCTATGTTTACCACCTCCCTACAGCACCCAAGTTTCAAAATTGCTAATTATAAGAACCACTCAAGATCTTACAAATTCACACATTGCTAAAAACCCTGCAAAAATCCAACAAATAACACCTCATAATGCTTCTGAATCCTATCCAAATCACAATATCTCTCTTATAACCCTTCAATCCCAAGAAGCACAAAACTTGGATTAGATAATCATCTTTAACAAATCCAACAAAAAAGCAAAAACTCTCATGTCAATATTGACTCTCAAATTGCAAAAATTTCAATAAAGGTTCAACCTTTTTCATAAACCACTCAAAACCCACAATTATTTCCCCTCAAAATTCAACCTTTAAGGCCCATTCAAGTTAAACACTCAAAAAAACATCCACATTCTACAGATGAAATGTCAACTATCTTCCCACAAATGCAAAATTCAGCATAAAGATCAATCTTTAACTTAAACTACTAAAAACCCACAATTTATTTCCCCTCAAAATTCAATCTTCAAAACCCATTTAAGCTAAAAGTTCCAAAAACATCCACATACTTGAAATGACATGCCAAGCTTGACTCTCACAAAAATCTCAATAAAGGTTCAACCTTTTTCATAAATCCACAAACTATTTCCCTTCAAAATTCAATCTTTAAGACTCATTTCAGTTAAAACTTCCAAAAACAACCACATATTTGAAATAAAAGGTTAACTAATTGACTCTTAAATTGCAAAAATCTCAATAAAGGTTCAACCTTTTTCATAAACCACTCAAAACCCACAATTTATTTCCCCTAAAAATTCAATCTTTAAGACCCCATCACAAAGTTAAATCTCTCAAAAACAGCAACATATCCAAGAATTCAAATGCATAAAAAAAATATATTATCTGCCTTTGACTAAACAAAATCTTCCAATACACACATTTTCAATTAAAAAAATATTTACTGCATAAAAATATGTAAAGACAGCTAAGCCAAGTAAAAGTATTATTGAAATAAGAATGAACCTTGAAAAAAAGTAGATAATCCATTGAGCATTTTCTTTATTTCTTTTAGGAGGGATGAACTGAGACTTTGTCTTTTCAGAACTTCATTATTCTGTGAAGGAACAAAAGCTGTTGTTCAGTGATACTAATGATGCTTTTTTTTTTCTCTCTCTCTCTCTTTCTTTATTTCTTTTGTTTTTCTTTAAAAAGATTATATTTTAGGGGAATGTAGAGAGAGAGAAAAAAGGAAATGTAGGAAATGTGATGGGGTTTTTGATCTGTAAATAGAAAGGGAGTTGTTTTTGCTGTGAGTTAAGATAGAGAGAGAGAGAAGTACAGTGTGTGTGTTGATTTGGGGGGTGATGAAGATCTGAGAACCGGTTTGAACTTTGAACTGACAAAACAGTTGGGTTGGTGACCAGCTTGGCCGGTTTAGGTGGTTTGAAGCAAAAGAAACAACAACTAGTAATAATCATTGAATTATTTTTTTTTAGAACAAGGATTTTATTATGCATATCACATAATAGCAGAGTTAACAATATTCAAAGTGCCCGATAGGACATACCCTACTTGGCTATTACAAGACATTAACATGTCTCGAAGAATATTTTTGTTTCCAAAAGATACTAGTCTAGAACAAACATTTTTGTTAACATACTTAATTAAATAAGTCAAACCTTGATAGTCTGAAGTTAAGATAGCAGTTACAAAATGAGGGGCGTAGTAGATAATATTAAGATCCCTGCCATTGTTGCCACTAGGTGCTTCCTTAGTCATCATGTGTGTCGGCTTGTTGGTCTCCCTGAAGATGTGCTGGATTGCCTGAACCTTCACTTGTCTCATTAATAACCTGCACTCATGAACAATCTCATTTAGTATTGCAATTCCATTATTCAAACAAGTTATAACATCAGTCGAGTCAGTTTCCACTTCTAAGTTGGTAAAACCTTGTTTCTCGGCAATATAGAGGCCAGTTTTTAAAGCCATAAATTCTGCCTGAAGTGGTGATATTCATGGTAGAGTCCCTTAAAAACCAACTATCCATTGTCCCTTACTGTCTCTGAAGAGGCCACCAAATATACAAAGAGATGAGGCGTCCTTAAAGGATTCATCAATATTAAGCTTAATATGACCACTAGGCGGCTTAATCCAGTTAATAGATATGAGAATTTTTTGGTTAGTAACAATTTCCTTCTCCGTTAGGAGTTTATATTCCACATCTAGGTTATAAGCAATGTGGAGGCCTGAATTGTGTGAAGTTATTGTACAAGTTGTTATTCCTATTAATCCAAATAGTCCATATCACAAATGGAAACATATCTTTCCAACTAATAATGCCACTTTTTAGGGTAACGTTTTGGTCACGAATACTTGTCAACCAACTATTCGCATTATTCCAACTACCTGTATCGATCCCTAAGAGAAACCACAATTGTTTCACTGCCATGCATTCTAAAAAAATATGCTTACTTGTTTCCCTATGGATTTTGCAAAAAGAGCATATTGGATCAATATTTATACCAATATGATGTAAAAAGCTTCTTGTTGGGAGTCTATCATGGAAACATTTCCATAATAAAAATTTCAGCTTATTGGGGCAATTCAACTTCGAAATCAACATAAAGTCTTTATCACTATTAGTTTGATTACTTATTAGGGAGTAGCAAGATTTACTAGTGAAAAGACCATTTGTGTTTAATGACTAAATGTGGGTGTCACATATTTTAGTACTAGAACTAGTGACCTTTATTTTGTTAATAAGGTTAGGCTGAAACATCATAGAAAGTTTTAATAAATCCCATTTGTTATTATTCCAAATATATCCTTAATGGTTAGGAGATTATCCAATTGTGTTAGAGGACCATATATACACTGGCGCAGGGGAGGAGTTTGATAGATCCAACGACTATTCCAAATACTTAGGTTTGAAGACTGGTGAGGCAACCATGTAATTCCTTTGCTATAAACGTCCCAGCCTTACATAATACTATTCCAGATAAAGGAAGAATTCTTAGTGTTTTTTCTAGTACTATGGAGGCCTAAGATTGTTTTGGCCCAAGGGGAATGAGTGTTATTAAGAAATCTCCAAGAGAGGCTAGCAATGTTTACTAGGTTTTTACTCTTGGTTGTATGTAACCCTACCCACCCTCCTTCCTATGCTTGGTGATGTTATCCCACTTTATAAGGTGAATTTTTTTTGAGGTGGCATTAATACCCCATATAAAATTTCGCTGAATCTTATCTATATTACTAAGGATCTTTGATGATAAAAGGGTGTATTGCATTATGTGATTAGGGAGGGAGTTTAGACAGGAGGTAGCCAAAGTACATCTACATGCCATGTTAAGACAATTGGATTTCCAAATAGCCAATCTTGAAAGTATATTATCAAGGACAAATTGGAAGTCCTTGGCTCTTGGTTTCGAGCTTGTAAGGAAAACCTAAGTATTTCCCAAAAGAGTTATTGATGTTAATATTAAGAAACTTTGAGAGGTTGGATTTAATTACTTTGCGGCAGTTTATAGAGATGATAATTTTAGACTTTGCCCTGTTAATGGACTGCCCTGACAGGTAAAAAAAGGAGTCTAGGCAATCTTTAGTGGCAATTATAAATTTTTCATTAATCTATGCCATTAAGGTTAGGTCATCCGCAAAAAAGATGTGAGATATTTGGTGTTTGTTATTGCCTAAGGTAATAGGATCCCAATAATCTATATCTACTTTGTGATTAATAAGTGTGAAAAATATCTCCATGCAGAGTATAAACAAATAGGGGGACATATGGTCACCCAGTCTAATACCTTTGCTGGGAGAAAAATAATTAGTTCTAGTTCTATTAACCAAGATAACTATTTTACTAGGTGAAATACAGTTCATAATGAGCTTAGTGATATTTGGGGAAAATTTACAAAAGGTCAAAGCTCTGTAGACAAAGGACCATTCTAGACGATCGAAGGCCTTTTCTAGTTCAATTTTTAAAATCATGTTATGCTTCTTACCACGATACTTGTTCATTTTAAGAATTAGTTCTTGAATTATGATAGCATTATCACATGTTTTCCTATTTTTTAGGAAGCTAGCTTGATAGGGACTAATAATAGTATTTAAGGAAGGCTCCAAACGGTTAGTAATAGTCTTAGTAATAATTTTATAAATCGTATTAAATAGACCTATGTGTTACGTCCTTAGTCTTAACCTAAGTGCACGTGCGGCATTTAGCAACTCACTCACGATCTTGTATAACTTGCTCACGTTCTTGCTATGTCAAGTCAGCCCTACTACACTCATGATCGCTAAGAAATGTTAGAACACATGAGAATTGCCAAAGGAAGCTTTTGTATTAGAGAGAACTTGATTATTTTGCTTGGTTGATGAATTACAAATGAATGCCCCATATTTATACTAATCACCTAGGGGCTACTATGTAAATAATAATTGTTCTACAAGTCCTTTCGTATTTACAAATAAGTCCTTCTCTAGAATATTCTACATAGCTAGAATCTTCTAAGGACTTTCCTAACAATTCTATAGGGTTCTATGGTCTTCCTAAGGAAACCTCTATATTTCTCTAGAACCTTCCTACAAGTGCATAAATATCTAGAACATTTCCAAGGAAATTCTCCATAGTTCTAGAATATTCCACCAAGATCTAGTCCCTAACTTATGTAACCATTCCATATGACAAAAATATATGTCAAGTGGCACCTACGTGGCATGATGATGTGGCGGGTCATGACATATGGGTCTAAAGTTTTTTAAGTTATTGGCATTAAGAATATTTGGAATTAGGTATAGCAAGGTATCATTAATTCCTTCAGGAATTGTACCACTATTGAATGCCTCCTGGCAAAGGTTAGTAACTGATTTACCAATTATATTACAATATTTTTGGAAGAAAAATGGGTGGAGTCCATCTGGCCCCGGGGCCTTATAAGGTTTGAATGAAAAACAGGCTTTTGTAATTTTAGAGTTAGTAATGGGATCATCTAGCGAGACTAAAGATGTGCGAAGTTGTGAAGGTTTTTTTAAAATAATCTCTTGTATGATTAATGATGGCTTCAGGGTCATCAATCCACTTTCTTTGGTCATTTTTGAAGAAAACAATTTTATTTTTCCTTTTCCTATTAGTAGCCATAATTGGAAGAATTTAGTATTTGCATCACCCTCATTTAACTAATGAATTCTAGAACGAAGCTTCCAGTAATACTCTTCAATTTTAAGAATGTTATTATAGTCTAGTTTTGGAGAGGATTCCAAAGATTGAAGGAAAGTACTAGATTGATAGGATGACGAATTTTGAATACTGTTAACCCTAGCTAGTATTTTATTTTTAAAAAATGTCTCCAAATATATTATTTTTCCAACTGGTGACAATATCATCAAACGTGGATAATGCTTGGGTATAAGTTTTATTACACCAAGTGTTGGTGACTATGGTTAAGAAATGGGGGTGTTTGCACCAAAAAGGTTCCAACCGGAATGGTTTTCCAAAAAACTGGCATTGCTTAGGAATGAGATTAATGAGCAAGGGACTATGGTCGGAATGAGTTTTTGGTAGATGAGTTATAAAAGCATTAGGAAAATTCTGGATCCATTGATCATTACCAAATACTCTGTCAAGGCGTTCCATAATAAGGCTATTATTAGCAAATCTATGATTAGACCATGTATACTTACAACCTTTGTAATCGAGGTCTAATAATTTACAGTAATTAAGACTAGACCAAAGTTTAAGGGCACATCTACACATCATTAAAATCACCGCCTACTAGCCATGGTCCATTGTGACTATCTGCTATGTTTCCATATTTTTTCACATTTGATCTCTAATAACAACATTAGTACTAGCATATATCGAAGAAAATAACCATTTAAAATTTGTAGGTCGTACCTCAATTATTGCATGTATTTCATGATTTTTACGCACAAAGTTATGGACGTTTACTTTGGTATGGTTCCAAAGTATCGCCATTCCCCAGCCTGGCCTTCAGCTGGCACTTCAATCAACTCAGAAAAATCAAAGTCATTCATCAAAGAGGCATAAGCTTGCATTCTGGTCTCGAGAAGGGTAACCATGCATGGCCTATTGTGAACCATGAACTCCCTAAAATTCCTTCTAAAATCCTCATTATTCCCACCCCTAATGTTCCAAATTATGAAGTTAGTGGGACTAAACATATTAACAGTTTGGGTTGGGTTGTGACCATTCTCCACCCTTTCCCTGGTAGGGGTTGAGTTCCCCCTTAGAGATGGCACAATGATCATTGCTCGATTCCCTACCATTGGGTCATGTGGTGGACGAATATCCATTGCACATTTGTATAGATTCCGGGGGTAAGAAAGAATGAGCCTCTTCTCTTGAGTTTATTTGAACAAGTAGACTTTTACCTCGTTTAGGTTTCCCAATTCCACCATTGATTTTACTATCAAATCTAT